AACTAAAAATATCTCAAAAGCGGACATAAAATCGGTGACGATATGTGATTTTTTGCGTTAAGCGTACAGAGCGTACGTATCGGAGTAGAATGAATGAAAGAAATTGAAATTGTTTGTTTGGTTGATGGTTTGATGGCTTGTGAGCGCGCAAAATTTATCACCGTTTCGAGGTTGACGATTTTCCCCTCAAACAACCCGCATCAAACCCGCATACATTGGCAATCATGTAAACATTTGAAATGTATTAAAAATCGAATGGCTTGAAATATGTCAAATGCTTGAAATAGATTTAAATGAACATAACGACGATGTCAGAGGGAGAATGGGGGACCTTATACTCGTTGTTTTTGTGTGGGGGAGGGAAACTGTTGGGAGCAGTTCTTAGGTGTAAATGATGACCTCTGACACCAACGAAAACACTTGTTGTTTCTAAGAGCGAAGGCAGTTCTATCAAAATGCCTCGTTCACATCTCCTCAGGCTATTGCATGGCTTTGTTGGAAAGTATCAAAAGAGTGGACCCACATGGTGCATCTTTGATCTGAACAACAGTTCGGAAAGTTGTTGTCATTCTTTAAATTTAACCCATAACAATTTACAAAATGTTGTAAAAAATCGTAAATTTTCCTAGATTTTCAGAAAATAAAGATTTTTTTTAAATTTTGACCATTTTCTAAAAAAAGAGTGGACAATATCAATCAAAAACAAATCAATCCATGTAACGCACTTCTAATTCCTGAAAAAAATGAAAATTTGCTAATTTTGAACATGGATGGACACGTATCGTTTGAAATACAGATAAAAAATCTTCTAAAAATTTGTCTGGTAAAACATATGCCAAAAATTTGTTTTCGGGAAACACCTCAGAAAGACACAAAGAAGGCCTGGAGAAGATATCCAGAAAAGCTTTATACAGAAAATCCATCTATCTACAGAAAATCTAGAAACTGTCTTCAATATAGAGAAGATGTCAGGTGCCGGATGCCGGAAGATTTTTATGTTAGGAAAGACTTCTAGAAAGAAGAGTTGGGAAAAGTATTCTGTTTATTAAAAAGCTTTCAAAAATACCTCTGGTTTTTTAACTTCTAGGACTCTAGTTTTTAAACTTCTAGGACTAAAGGAGACTTCCAAAAGTTTTTCAAGCTTAAGAAGACCTCTTAAACAATTAAAATATTTTACTTATGATAGATCTTCTCATAAAAGAAGACTCTCGATGCGACTGGTTACAAAAGAAGTCTAACGACTATTGAAACCATCGAATTTCATTTGTAATTCGTGGCATTTTAATTATAATTGAAAAGTTCCCTTTGTAATTCGAATTATTCCATTTGAAGTTAGAATTATTTCATTTGAAATCCGAAACACAAAAATTTATTTTTTTTGTTGTATTTCAAATTCAAATTATATGATATGGAGAGTCTTCTGATAATTGTAGACCTATTGAACATAAATGACTTTAGATCACCGGCAGAAATTAGAAAATTTTACAAGTTGGCAGGCCAAGTTCGTAAATGGGCCATTTTGGCCAATATCGGGCATTTTGATGATTTCAGCGACACTTTTAACGGAATTGTTCCAAATTTCATATCTAAAGTTTCGAAGATCTTAATGGTTTCTACAACCTATTACAAAAAATTATGTAACGGCACCAACCCAGAATTGTTTCAAATTTGGCATTCAAAGTTCGTAATGCCTACAGCCTATAACAGCCTATAACAGCCTATAACAGAAAATTGTCTATGCAAGTCAACTTCTTCGTATATTTCCATATATAACGGTACCTCCCTTATTCAAAACGCCGATACACGTGTCTTATATTTTTAGCTCTTCCTTCATTGTTAAGTAACCTGCAATTGAGGTCACATGGTTAGAGAAAACGTGCCTCATCGTTTCAGTACATTTGGAGTCGATCTACCGATGTCCGCCCGTCTCTCCAAACTTGGTACATCGTAATAATATTATCAAACTTATATGGAGTTCGGAGATGAGCAACATCGGTCCACTTCTACTGCCACCTCCACCGAAATTAACAAAAAAAAAATATTCTACTGCACAGAAGGAGAAAGGATAGACTTCTCTCCAACTTTGCAAATCCTAATATTTGCATCAGTCCTAGGACAATATTGGTCCACTCCATCAAGCACCCCCTCAAAGGGTAAAAATTTTGAACAATTATAACTCTTATAAAATTTGAAGTCTGACGTCTGATTGTATTTAAATTATACACATTACAATATTTTTATTAACTCAAGCTCTGATATGAAGATGGAATATATCAGTCCACTCCTCCAAGTACCTCCCCCAGAAAAAAATTATAAATATCCACGAAGCTCATAAAACGCGAAATTAACATCTTATTCCATTTAGATTTTGTACATCTCAATATTTTCATCAACACAGGATCCGTTATAAATATGGTAGAGATCGGACCATATCTTCTGGTACATCCCCCCACAAAGAGTCAACGTTTTGAATAACCAAAACGTTTATAAAATCCGAAATAAGCATCCGGCTCTCTTCATATTTCACACATCCCATTTTTTCTACTAACACAAGATATGCTGTGAAGATGAGATATATTGATCCGCTCCTTCTGGTACCTCTCCCACCAAGGATCAAAATTTTGATCCACAAAGGATTAAATAAAACGCAAAATTAACATCCGATTCCATCCAGACCTGGCACATCTCAATATTCCATCAACACAACATCAGTTATAAATCGAATTATTTTTTCTGGTACCTCTAAGCGAAATAAGTAACCAACTCTCTTCAAATTTCACACACACAAACATTTTTGTTAACAGAAGATATATTCTGAAGATGGTAAATGTATATCTGCGAACCCTTTCTGGTACCTCACAATTACAATCTGGTACGATCACAATTTTCATAACTTGCGAAACAAGTCAGTATTACTTAACAACTCACAATATCCGAATATATCTCCCAACCAGAAATCTGAGGTGAATATGAAATTTATGATTTCGCATAACATTGGATATAAATGTTCGATTTTCTTGAAATTTTGCCCATACCAATATTTGTATCTGTAGTAGATGAAGTATGAAAATGGAATACTTCGGTCGAATATATCTGGTACCTCACACACATTTTAACATTTCCTAAAAATTATCACATATCTCATATAAAGTGACTTCCTTCACTTTCACCAGTATAGTTCAAACCTGGCGCGTTGCAACATTCATATCATACTTATTTAGGTCCGATACAAAGTGGTCAATAATGGCCCATTCCTTTGGAGCCTACGTCATAGAGGGTATGTATGATTTTTAGCTATGGTCTTTTGGGGAACACCGGCTTTAACCGCTCAGGCTTGTTTCGAGTTTTGTTTTATTGTGAAGAATCTTCAGTTTCGTCTATAATTTAACTATGAATCGTCTTAGAAACGAGCAACGTTTGGAAATCTTTTAATTTTACTATCAAAATTCGTGCCCTGCACATAAGCAGAATGCTTAATTTTGTAGTAAGGATCAGTCAATGGATCAAAAGAAAAAATCACAGTTCGGTTCGGTTTATGGGCTGGTGGCAACATTGGACGATACTTCTCCAAAGATGCTGCGAATCGAAACGTAACTGAGAATTGTGAGCGCACGACAAAATAAATGTAATACTGAGCCGCTCCAAGCTCAGATTATCCTCTTCCAGATTCCTAGCATTTCCTTCCAATGTATATTTAGTATTTGGTTCTTTTTTATATCCCTCCACAATTGTATGGAGGGTATATTAAGTTTGTCATTCCGTTTGTAACACCTCAAAATATACATTTTAGACCCGACAAAGTATATATATTCTTGATCAGCATAAAATTATCTGTCGATTTAGCAATGTCCGTCCGTCTGTGGAAATTACTCTAGCTTCCGAACAAAATGAGGTAGGTTGGTAAAATTTTACTCAAATAAATGTTATGTCTGCAGGACTTTTGGTATTGGAAATGGACCATGTATGTCCACATTTTGGTATAGTCCCCACATAGCGCTACCTCCCGACATTCGGTATTTTGATTATTTTAGCGACATTATTCACCGCAATCGTTTCTAATTTGGTATTTAAAGTTCACAATAGCTACTACAGCCTATGATAGAAAATTGTCTGTGCAGGTCCATGTCTTCGTAAAGCCCCCATATAACGGTACCTCCCGATATTCGGTACTTTGTTGATTTTAGCGACATTATTCACCGGAATTCCTTTAAATTTAGTATTTGATGTACGCAATGGATGCTACAGCCTATGACAGGAGATTGTCTGTTCAGGTCCACGTCTTCGTATAGCGCCTCCCGATATTCGGTATTTCGATGATTTTAGCGTCTTTATTCACAGGAAATGTTTGAAATTTGGTATTTGAAGTTCGTAAGATAGAAAATTGTCTGTGCAGGTCCATGACTTCATATAGTCCCATATAACGGTACCTCCCGATATTCGTTATTTTGATTATTTTAGCTTCATTATTAACGATTTTTTTAAGTTTCGCATTTGAATATTGTAATGGCTAATGACAAATATTACCTATGCAGGTCCATGTCGTCGTATAGACCCTGATATAACAGCTACATTCTGTATTTTAAAGATTTTAACAGAATTTTTAAATTTTACTGTTTTGAGAATTGTCAAATTCGTTCCTAATGGTGGAGGGTATTCAGCTTTTTTTATTTGTTTTTAATTATTGATTTGAAATTTAAGATCCAATCGAAGTTGACCCGTTTTTAAAATTGTAACAGAAGATTAACACAGAGAGTTTGAAAACTTCAAGATGTTGCAAATCTTATCCGTACAGTGATGTAGCGTATAAATAATATATATTTTCAAACAGAATATTGTTAAGAATTTGGGTCTCAAAATGGCATTGCCAGAACACAATCACACACACACAAATGTATCACTTTTTGCACCTAGAACATTTTCGAATGATGCGTAATCCATGATTTTTTTTTTTCATTACATTGTTTATCTTCGTATATGTCTCTCTGGTCCATTTAACTTACCACCATTAATTTAATTACAAATATCTGTTTTTGATTTGTGTGCCGCTCCGCTTTGCCTATACCAAAGTTTTGTTTTCAATTAGAACTGATTTATTTTCACTTCACAACTTTTTTATTTATTTTTGATGTTATTTTTATTTTCTTTAAAATTTGAAGAAAATGTTCTTTTTAAAAGAAAACTAAACCAATTTCAACGGCTACAACTCTTTTCGAAAAACTACGCGACAGATCAATTGAAAATGTAACGCAAACATACAAAATTCAAAACCAAAAAAAAAAAATCCAAATCCGAAAAACTTTCAAGGAGATCCGGACACTTGTGTTTGTGGCGCGACAAGCAGGTCGTTTCTGTATCGTTGTCTAAGAAATGCACGACTGAATGAAATTCAAAGTGTTTCAGTTGTTTTTAGAGAAATTCAAAAACGTTCATGAATCGCACAGAAATTACTCACTCGCACGCTCGTGGTCGGCACCGGCCCCAAATACGTTTCGAACACAACAAAATTATGCCGCCCTCATCAAGTGAGTGGTTCTGATTGGGAGGCGGGGGTGCGACGTTGTTCTGTGTACGAATCTGTTTTGTATTGCCAATGATGATCTGCCACTGCCAATCGGCGGTAGCAGTAAAGCTTGCTCATCATTTTCTATTTGCCGTTGTTGTAGTTGCCGATGTTTTTTTTTTCTTTTTTTTTTTGAGAAAACACCAGCGCAAATATTCTCATTTTGAGAATCATTTTCAAAAATTGAGAACTGACCAGAAATGCATTTTGCATTCCACTGGTTCTCTAAGCACTGCACTCTCAGTTATGCGAAATCCAAATAGAACCAAATATGAAAATGTATCGGTAATGTCAGGCACAGTGTTTGGGAAGTGGAAAAAAATGCCAAAAATTGAATTGAATTTTATTAAAACAAGTAAAAAGTATCGGTCAGCTTTGCCGACAGATGTATAACCTCAGCCGATGTTCGATTATTTAAAAATAGTTTCTAGGTCTATCTTTTAAACAAAGTCCATGATTCTGATAATGTTCTTACCATGTTCTGTAACTCTCCGACAGGATAGGCGACCTAGAATTTTTAAAACATTTTTTGATAGACTACCAGGTCGTGGGCATCTCTATGAATAATTTTTCATGGACTGTCAGAGTTATAGATAGTAATATATATTTGAAAAAAAATAGGTTCCGAAGGAATTAGCCAATATTGGCCATTTCTTATAGGACCTAAATAAATATGTATAAACATTGCGACATGCTAGGTTTGTACTGTGTTGTGTTAATGGAAATTTTGGGATGTACCAAGTCTTGAATAGAATCGGATGTCAATTTCGCTTTATATGAGCTTAATGGATAATTAAAAAATTTTGAGCCTTTGTGGAGGAGGTACCAGAAGGAGTGGACCGATATATTCCATCTTAACACCAAACCTTGCGTTAATATAAATATGGGGATGTGTGAAATTTGAAGACAATTTGACTCTTACATCACAATTTATGAGAGCTGTAACTACTCAAAATTCTGACCATTTGTGGGGGAGGTACTTGATGGAGTGGACCTAGATCGACTCCAAATGTTCTGAAACAGATTTGGTCTAAAGAAACCTAGGGTCTAAAACCGTTATTTCGACTAGTACCAAATTATATATACCCTCTGTAGCCATATGGCTGAGAATACCTTTAACCCGGCTTTCTCTTCTTAGAGGACAAAAACTTCACAAGTTCCTTAGTCTATAGATCAGGGACGGACAAAATCAGTTCCACATCACTGCAGTAACGTAATTCTCCCAACACTTCCAATCCGGCATGTGGCATTGGAATGGCTCTAAAACAGGGCTGGACAGAGAGTCACACATTTTTGTGCTGTCCTTTTTATCACTCTCTGTTTAAATTGTTTTCAAGTGGCCCTGCCTATAAAAGACTCTAAATGTCAAGAGAACATCCTAACAGGATTTTCAACTTATAGATGATCGGTGAAATTTATTTCTATTTCTATATATAGAAGGGCTTGAAAAACTATTAGCCTATAAAATAGTTTTGAAGAAAAAAATTGTTCACCCCATAGACGATCATTAGAAGCTCTTCTCCGATTCGGTTTTTTAATTAGGTCCTTGAAGAAATGAGAAAGGTTCCCTGTTTGGAGAAAGGCTGACAGATGCGTGCCCTCAGCCAATTATCGATTATTTAAATATATTTTGACTTATGTTATGATTATTCAAATTGTTGATCCTCTATGCAGTAGGTTCCGGTGGAATGGGTCACTATTGTCCATTTCGTGTCGGACCTAAATAAATATGATATAAATATTGCGACGGGCCAGGATTGGACTATATTGGTTACTTCCTTCACTTAATATGAGAAATGTGATAATTTTTAGAAAATGTTAAAATGTGCGTAAGGTACCAGATATAGTCGACCGAAGTATTCCATTCCCATACTTCATCAAATACAATTAAAAAGATTGTTCTAGGCAAAATTACAAGAAAATCGAACATTTTTATGCAATTTTATGTGAAATTCCATATTCATCTCAGGTTTCAGGTTGAGAGAAATATTAAATTTTTCTTAAAGAAATTTAAAAAAATATATACCGCCCTCCACTCCTTAGTTTTCTTTAAAGTTTTTTTTTTATAAAAATTAAGGTCCCCCAAATGTGTATATTTCTAAAGAATTTAAAGAAATATAAACCTGGACATGGATTTTTTGAAGAATATTAAAGGCCCATAGAACAGTGTGGCTTGTTTGTTCGGGATACCGTAGTATTTTGTTGTTGCAAAATGGTCAGGCTTTATCCCTTTATTGTTGTTTTTATAAAAACAACGTTTGTTTATTAGTGGAGAACGGAGAAGTATTTTAAAAAATATTATTGACCCTCCAAACTTGTTTTTTAAAGAATTTTAAAAAAATATATTAAACGCCCTCAGAACATGTTTTTGTGTGTGTTTTTTTTTAAGAATATTGAAGACCCCTTAGCATTCGTTTAACGAATCTTGAAAAATATATAGCGCCTTCCGTTATTTTTTTCTAAAGATTTAAAAAAAAACAAGTAAAACACATTAAGTTCGGCCGGGCCAAACTTTTAATACCCTCCACCTTAGGATAAAAGAAACATTACAAGAAATGTGGCAAAAACCATTAAAATTCCGAATATCGGGAGGTACCATTATATGGGGGCTACACCAAAACGTGGACCTATAATTACAATGTTTCGCCACACGAACTAGGACCCATTATAATCCACAAATACAAATTTTTAGACAAATCAGTGGAAAAATGTGGCAAAAACCATCAAAATACCGAATATCGGGAGGTACCGTTATATGGGGGCTATATCAAATCATGGACCCATGCATGCAATGTTTTGCCACCGGAGCTGGAACCCATTATGACCAACAAATACCAATTTTTAGACAAATCCATGAAAGAGTGTGGCAAAAATCATCAAATTGCCGAATATCGGGAGGTACCGTTATATGGGGGCTATACCAAAACGTGGACCCATACATGCAATGTTTCGCCACCGGAGGTGGAAACCATTATGACCTACAAATACCAATTTTTTGACAAATCCGTGAAAAAATGTAGCAATAATCATCAAATTGCCGAATATCGGGAGGTACCTTTATATGGGGGCTATACCAAAACGTGGACCTATACATGCAATGTTTTGCCACACGCACAGGGACCCGTTATGACCTACAAATACCAATTTTCAAACAAATCCGTGAAAAAATGTGGCATAAATCATCAAAATACCGAATATCGGGAGGTAACGTTATATGGGGACTATACCAGCACGTAGACCGATATATCTCATTTTCAATACCAACCATCCTAGACACAATGCGAATTGCTCTGCAAAATTTTGGCGCTCTACGTCAAATACTGTGGGCTGCATCGTGATTTCAACAGACAGACGGACAGACAGACAGACAGACGGACATCGTTAAATCGACTTAGAATTTTATGCTGATTATGAATATATATACTTTATGGGGTCTACGACGAATATTTAAGGATGTTACAAACGGAATGACAAAGTTAATATACCCTCCTTACCAAGGTGGAGGGTATAATTAAGGTCCTCCAAACGTGGGTTTTTTTTAAAGAATTTTAAAAATATTAAAGGACCTATAATAAGTGGATTTTTTACGACGCGTCGATTACTTAACAATTTTAAAAAATGTTAAAGGTCCTCGAAGCGTGGATTATTTAACAATTTTAAAAAATGTTAAAGGTCCTCGAAGCGTGGATTATTTAACAATTTTAAGAAATGTTAAAGGTCCTCCAAACATGCATTGTTTTAAAGAATTGTAAAAAGTATTAAAGCCCTCCAAACGTGGATTTTTTTTAAAGAATTGTAAAAAATATTGAAGACCCACCACGCATTAACTATCTTTTAAAAAATCTTAGAATATAGATAGCTTCCTCCAAGATTTTTTTAAAGAATTGTAAAAAAATATTGAAAACCCACAACACCCTTTACTTTTTTTTTTAAAAAATCTTAGAAAATATACAGCTCCCTCCAATTTTTTTTTTTTAAATTTAAATTTTAATTTAAAATTTAACGTCATCGAAGTGTGGATTATTTAAAAATTTTAAACAATATTAAAGGTTATCGAAGTGTAGATTATTTAAAAATTTTAAAAAATATTAAAGGTCCTCCAAATGAGGATTTTTTTTAAAAAAAAATTTAAAAAATATTTAGGGCCCTCCAAACGTGGATTGTTTTAAAGAAATGTACAAAGTATTAAAGACCCTCCAAACGTGGATTTTTTTAAAGAATTGTAAAAAATATTAAAGGCCCTACACGCAGTAAATTTTTAATTAATTTAAAAAACTATATCGCCCACCACCCCTTAATTTTTTTAAAAATTTAAAAAAGTAATGTCCTCCAAACGTGGATTTTTTTAAGCATTTTAAAATAATATTTAAAGCCCTCCAAACGTGGATGTTTTAAAGAGATAAAAAAGTAGGGTCCTACGTGGAGATATTTTTTTTAAAAAATTTTAAAAATTTGTAAAAAATATTGAAGACCTACCACGCTTTAAGTTTATTTTAAAAAAATCTTAGAAAATATATAGCTCTCTCCAAGATTTTTTTTAAGATTTAAAAACAAATTAAGGTAAGAATTTTAAACAATATTAAAGGTCATCGAAGTGTGGATTATTTAAAAATGTTAAAAAATATTAAGGTCCTCGAAGCGTAGATTATTTAACAATTTGAAAATAAATTAAAGGTCCTCCAAATGAGGATTTTTTTTAAAGAATTTTTAAAAATTATTAGGGCCCTCCAAACGTGGATTGTTTTAAAGAATTGTAAAAAGTATTAAAGCCCCTCCAAACGTGGATTTTTTTAAAGAATTGTAAAAAATATTAAAGGCCCTCCACGCCGTAGTT